AATTGCAGAAATTTAAACTGTATCATACTATCACACATGTTGACCTTCAATGGCATGGAATTTATAAGGGAGAGACAGTATTTGGTACATAGTGAATCAAAATGGCCAATGAATTACAGGATATAAAATAAATATTTAAAAATCCAGGTTTCCTAAGTAACAAAATTTTCTAGAAAGACAATTATATGTAGTTGCAAAATAATAACTTTGACTCTGCTTTTCCAATAGTCAAACCTTTTATTCTTTATGTTCAATTACTAGAAGGCACTGAACAACATCAAATCATAATGTCATTGGCAAATCCGGTTTTGAAGGTGCAGTGTTGAATGTGTTGCTAGCTGTGGGTTAAGAAAGGTACATTTTAAGAAGATAAGGAAATACTCTTATATTCTTCATCTACCATTAACTGTAATTTCCCTCCTATCCATGAGAAGAGGGGTTGTATCCCATAGCCTAAAAAGTGCACAGGTAGGTCATCGAGAAATGCTTGTTGAATAAATAAAAAATTATCAAAGAGGCTATACCAGGAAGACATGCAAACTACTAGAAAAATAATATGAAAAGTTTACTTGAGCAATGTTGGAATCTGAGTCAGGGGCTTCAGGCCTGTAATCCCAGCTATTGAAGAGGCTGAGGCAGGACAACTGGAAGTTCAAGGTATGCCTGGGCTACAGGTAATATACAAAGACAACCTGGACAATTTAGTGAGAGAAAAAGTGAAAAGAGGTCTGATGATATAGCTCAGTAGTAGAATGCTTGCCTAGATTGTGTGAGACCCTAGGTTCAATCCCCAATACAAAAACCATGACTGGAGCTGGAGAGATGACTCAGTGGTTAAGAGCACTTACTGCTCTTGCAGAGAACTTGAGTTTGGTTCCCAGCTCCCACATTGGATGACTTACAGCCCCCTGTAAACTCTAGCTAGCTTCAGGGAGAGCTAATGCCTTTGGTCTCTGCAGGCACCTGCACTCAGGCACACATACCCACACACAGACACACAATACACACATATCCATAACTTAAAAAATAATTTTAAAAAATCAAGACTGAGACTGGATAGAAGGATGAGTGGTTAAGAGCACTGGCTGCTCTTGCAGAGGTCCCAGGTTTGGTTCCCAGTACCCACATGGCAGCTAACAACGGTGTGTAACTCCAGTTCTGACCTCTGTGGGCACTGGATGACATGGGTGCACTTACATACATGTAGACAATACACTCATACACATAAAATAAAAATAATAAAATATTTAAAAAATCAAGACCAATTAAAAAAACCACCCACAGCTAGTAAGGCAATTCAAGCCAAGTGTTCTTTCCAGTAACGACCCTTTCTGTTTGAATGCCTTGGCATAGGAGAGATGTCTACATTTTTTGTTGTTGTTGTTGTTGCTGTTGTTGAAACAGGGTCTCACTATATATCCCAGGCTGGTCTGGAATTCCTCATCCTTCTGCCTCAGCAGCCTCTGGAGTATTGGGATTACACATTACACACAGGATTGATCGTACCACTATGCTCAGAATATTTTCGGCATTCTTATCACTAAGCAAGAAACTGACACTTGTTGACAAAAATAAATAAATAAATAAATATCCTTTTATATTTTTTCCCTTTGGGGCTGAGTTAAATGGCTTGAATAATTTCAGTTAAACATTTAGCATTTAGAGTTACATTACCTTCAGTATTTGATTTTACACTGGATTAACCTAAAGAGCTATCTAGTTGCTATAGAGAAGAAGATAGGGATCTGTGCTGATAGATAGCACTGACTGGGAAATGGACTCTGTCAAAGGGAAAATCTGTTTCCCTATGCTTCATTTTCTCTAGCTGGAAAATAGTCCTAGTAATTCTTATCTTCCTCCTTGACTAGGAATTGCTACATCTACATTTCTTAGATATATATATGTTTCTGCCTTATTAGTTATAAATGATAAAAAATGTAAAAAACTTTGTCTTCAAATTTATAAAATCAATCAACTACAAACACATTTCATGATATAGAATAAAAATGCTTATAAGCTTATAACCTTGTAAAAGTACATTTTATCTTACATGTGGCTATGCCTAACATTCTACAAATTGTAAAATATTCCATAATTTTCCTTATTCATTCTTTTGTGAAAGAAAAAATATCCTTCTGAAAGGAGCTACTATGCAGTGTGTTTTAATGCTTCTTTTTGTTCTATATTTGTTTCATATAATTTTATTTTCCCACTCAGGAAGCTCTTGTTTTTATTTTTTATAGGAAGTTGGTAATAATCTCAATCTATATAATTCGATTTAGAACTCAATATAATTATTGTTCAGCCCTGGACACCCCCCCCCATTTGAGTTGTCTATGAAACAAATACCCACTTTAAGTCAGCAAAACTAGGGATGGAAATTTGGCGTTTGTAGCTTTTTTAGAACTACCCAAACATTCTACAAAATGCCAGACTAGCACTCTTCAGAATGGCCAAGGTCATTAAAATGAGGAAATCTGAAAAATTGTCATAGTCTGGAGGCAGTTTAGGAGACATGATGACTAAACGTGATGTGGTACCATTAAGTGGGATGCTGGAACAGAAATATCAAGGGGAAATTACGACAATCCAAATAAAGTATGACATTTAGTTAAGAGTCTATCATTGTTGGTTCCTTAGCTGTGACAAACATACTACGTACAGCAGTGTGGGTTAAGAACAGGGAGAACTAGGTAAGGAGCACATTGGACTCAGGACTATCTCTGAAACATTTCCCCCCAGATATCAAACTATGCTGAAATTAAAAAAAAATTATTACTATGGAGCTTGGCATGGTGTTCCATGCCTTTAACCATAGTGCTCTATAAGCTGAGGCAGAATGGTGAGTTCAGTTTGGGCCATATAGAAAGACCTTGTTTCAAAATTTTTAAAAAAATTTAAATTTTATTTATTATTTTTATCTTTTATGTGTATGAGTACATTGCCTCCATGTGTTTAAAGTGCATCCGTGTCATGCAATGCTGGCAATGGTCAGAAGGTATTGGATCTCCTGGAACTGGAGTTATAGACGGTTATTAGCTGCCATGTGAATGCTGGTAATCGAACCCAGGTCCTCTGTAAGAGCAGTCAAGTGTTCTTAACCACTGAGCCACCTCTCCAGCTCCCAAATTTTAAAATAAAAAAATTATTATTTTTTATTTTATGTGTATGAGTATATTGCCTGCACGTGTGAACGTTCACACCTGTCGTGCAATGATCATAGAAGTCAGAAGAAGGCATTAGATTCCCCTAGAACTGGAATTATAGGCGGTTCTTAGCTGCCTTGTGGATGCTGGGAATTGACCCCAGGTTCTCTTCAAAAGCAGACAGTGCTCTTAACTGCTGAGCCATCTCTCCAGTTCCGAATTTGAAAAAAATTTAAAAGCAAAAAATATTTGTCTAATATGGAGCTAGGGTTGAGAATCCTTTACAGAAGAATCTACTTGCATTTCATCAGAAAACAAAAGGTTTCTGTGAACTACTGAACCTGTCCATCTCCAGCACATGCTTTCCTCAAACCCTCATCTAGGGGGAGGGGGCGATGCTGCGCTGGGATGGGTTCACAAATTACATCTCTAGTCACTCCCAGGGAAACACAAATGGGCCAGCAGTAACAAACATTACTGTAAAAATCATAATATTGATCATTTCATTATTCACTGCCAAGATGCAAGAATTCTAGGATTGCTTAGAAAAGGAGAAAAAAGGACTCACAACTCATTCTTTAGTTTTGAAATTTACGTTTCATTTTTGTATCTATACAAATGATCTGAATTAAATCTAATATCTGCATTGTGGTCCGCTACTGGATTGAGAAAATGGCAAATGATGTGTTTGTTAGTTATCTGTTATCTATTAAAGGAAATTTAGACATGATCAGAAAGTTCTTCACTATTGCGATTTTTTTTCTTTTGTCTTCCACTGTGGTAGAAAGGAGGCAAGGGGAAAGATCTGTGATGTCTCCCTGGATTCACCCTGGCTGTGTTTTCATGGCTTTTGCCTTTAAATATTTGCCACCTGTGTAAATCTCTAGTGAGGTAGAGCCTGAAGTAACCACTCTAGGGTTGGGATGTAGCTTGGTAGCATGTGCAGAAAAAAACGTTGACTCAATCCTCAGCAGGACAAAAAACAATCATTATACAGATGTAAACATTTGACAAATAACATGCCTGGAGATAGTGTTTCAGAAGTTCCATTCTGCCGTGGGTGGTGTCACATGCTTGTAGTTGCTGCACTGGGGAAGGCTGCACTGGAGGCCTGCCTAGGGTACACATGACCCTGTTACCAAAACCAAACAACAGCAACAAAATCCCAAACCAAACAAACAAACAAAAACAAATCCTTTTTATGCATGCATTTCTGCTTTGGACGAATCATGACCAATTTGTTAATTTATGCTCACAGCCTGCAGTCACACAAATTACAGTTCCAGTTCTCTAACTCCAAGTGAGTTTAGGTAAATAATAATTTCTCTTTTCCGATCCTATCTTGGTTTCTCATCTGTAAAATGGATGGATTGGACCAAGCAATTTCTCGAAGCCCCTGCAACTGTTAACACAGTTGGGGTGAAATAGGCCAGGAGAAACACAGTGGAGGCTTAGGATTCAGGGCACTGGAAAAGCTGGTCCCGTGTTTGTGTTTCTGTAGTCAGAATGGTGAGAGGAGTAGGAATGGGCGAACGGGGGTGAGGGGTGGGGTGGGGGTCGGACGGACAGAGACCCAACCCAGGGTCAATTTAGCTGACTTTTTACACTAGCTGGATAAGCCCGGAACGCAGTTGCTAGTTGCTAGGCAACTGCATCTCTTGGGAGGATAAAGGACCCCAGCCGAGGTGTCTAAGTCACTTCTTATTTTAGGCATGGTGTTTTACATTTCACGTTTAATACAATTTGTAGCTTTTAAAAGCACACTGTTTTCTCAACCTATTCTGAACAAATTCTAGGTCGCAGTCGGCTCGCGGCGCTGCTCGCCCTGTTCTCAGGCGCGCCGCGGACACCTCTCTAGCCAGGCCGGGCCTCCTAGTTGCCCGGCAGAGCCGACGCCACCGCTATCTCGCCGCTCCCGTCTGCCACTGCCGCTCGAGGCCCGGGTCGCCGGTCCCTGGACCCTGGGGAGTTGCCCTGGGCCGCCATGGGCTTGGAGATGGAGCCACTGCTCCTGGCTTGGAGCTACTTTAGACGCAGGAAGTTCCAGCTCTGCGCCGATCTGTGCACGCAGGTGCTGGAGAAGTCCCCCTATGACCAGGTATTGCCGCCCGGGTCAGACTGGGGATCCTCTCGTTGAGGCCCTGGGCTCTGGGGGATCCCTCTGTCCCCCACCGGAGGCCCGGCAGGAAAGGCCTAGGCGAGGCTGCACAGGCACCCGGAGCCCAGGCCCCTTGGAGTTGAGGCTGGGCGGTCCCTGCCCTATGCATCCCCCGGGGGGATCAGCTCCCTCTGCAAACTTCAGAGCCCTTTTCCAGAATTAGGGACACTTTAAAGGGACACGGTTAAATTGGCGAGCAAGTTTGATCATTCATAATTGTATCTGGACAGACTTCGTTCATTTCTAAAAAGGAAAAATATCCGTAAACAAAGATCTGTGACTCTCTGTCCCCTTTTAACACAGCTGTCTTTTGGTTTGGATGAAACGTATGATTTTCCTACCCCATGTTTAGACTGCTGTCAAAGCATGAAGGAACTTTAGATTCTGGGTCACGAGTTCAGTTTGAAACAAATATGCGAGATAGGTGAATAAGAATGTAGAAGGGGAAAGATGTATTTATGATTAAAGAACTACCTGGGTGAGAAAAACTGTAATTGTAGGAGGGAAGGCCAAGATAGAAAGTGTCCCTAAAAGGGGAAAATAGCTTTGATAACTGCACACCTGTAATCCCAGCACATGGAAGGTGAGGCAGGGGGATGAGGAGTTCAAAATCATCCTCAGCTGCATGGATTTAAGAGGCCTGTGATGGCTTATGAGACCCTGTCTCAAAAAACCAGACCAAAAGGAAACTTAATAAACTATAGTAATAGTATACATTGTGAATGAAAAGACCAATAATGAATGGGAAAGGTACTATGTTAATGGGCAAGTAGCTCCCAGAAGAGGCAAGTAGAAATGGGGGAATAGGAATAGAGCTGTTGGGGGGGGGAGGGTTGTCAGTGCTTCTAGCAAATGCAGAGTGTACTTAAATGCTACTTACAAAGCCCCCAGCTTTTTCTTTAGTGATGTTGCCTTGGAGATGTTGGGGGGTTGAGGGGGATGTAGGGAGTTATAAAAGTAGAGGCTGGAGTATGACCGTTGTTACTAGGCTCTGTGTGTCTTTGTGCACAGGGGTGGATGATAACCTAGTGATAGTACAGCTCCTATAGAACAGCCCACAGTAGAGGTGCTGCTAAGCTAGGTTCTATTGGTGTTAGTTCATTTTAATTTATAGGACTATGCTCTGGAAACCATTTTTCCAAGACTGTTTCTTGACACATTAGTTCTATAAGTGCTACTAAAAGCATCACTCCCCCACCCCCAATCCACCATGTTTGGAAATAGTAAGACAGTCCTGACCCCTTTACCTTTGTTATGAGAGGTTTGTTAAGAACTTTTGATGTACCAGACGTTGCTCTAGGCACCAGGGTTCTCAAGAACTTTACTTGCTATTTCCATTGAGTTAGGGTAATTTCTACTTATTGTTCCACAAAACACAGTTCCCAAGAGCTGCTCACTGAAAGAAAGTTTCCTCATTAAATGCCATAAGGAAATGCATACTCCCTCCTTAGAGACCCAAGATGTGCCCCAAAGGCTCTGAATTGTTCTGCAGAAAATAAATCTAATTTTGCCTAATTTTCTTTAAAAGTTTTGGAATTTATATTGACCACTGATTCCATCCCCCCTTTTTCCCAACCCTAAGGCAAAGGTCAAATGTATTTTTTATCCTCCTGGGGAGGTACTGTTACAAAAGTGTTCTTATTAATGGGTAAGACCCTGTAATCTTTTTTAATTTTTGAGAATTTTATAAATGAGTATTGTCTTTGCATTATTTCCATCTTTTCGAGTCTTTCACCAATTTTTTCCATGTTCCCCCATTACCTCTCAATTTCTTTTGCTATTCTTTGATTATTATTGTTACATACATGTTTGTAAATTTGTATATATAAACAGGTATGTTTATAAATATGCATATATATTTAATGCACTAAGTCCATTTAGTGGTGCTCATTTGAAGCCATAGTGACATTCTGTACTGCCCTTGTGACTTGAGATTTTGTTTGTGTTAGATTTTGTAATTGGGACTTTTTATGTGTTCATTTTATTGACCTTTTATTGAGAATTTACTACTTGCCAAACTTAAATTTTATAAAGTAAATATTTTTCTAATGTTTAGAATAACCTTGTAAAGTAAGTAACAAAAATAACAAACTTGGTTCAGAAAATTTTATTGTGTTGTCTCATTTAACACTCAACTACAGTAGGAGTTGGCATTATTATTATTATTATTTTTTCCTATTTTATAGATCAAGGACACGGAAGCACATCCAAAGTTACAGAGCTAGCAAGCACATTAGGCTGCCACTAAACTATGCAGCTACCTTTGACTGTTAGCCTAACTTTCCAAAACTGCTTCTGAACTTTCTTCAGTATATTCCCCTACCCCCTTTCTCTCTGTGTGTTTCTTTAAGATTTTAGCTGGTAAAGAATTTTACATATCCATGTGCTTGGATTAAAGGCTCTGACATGTCCTTAAGGGAAAAAACAAAACAACCCTCTAATTTTGATTAAGTCAAATAAGAAACTTATTTGACACTTGGTAGGAAACAGGACAATATCCCCCTTATCCTATGAAGATACCACTTTGGAAAACTAACTCCGTTTCTTACAGCTAACGGAGCTGGTAGAAGAGATCTTAACTCCTTTTGTATAGGAAAACACATTGTTTTGTTTAAAATCTCTCAGATTTGCTGCTAGACAAGGTAAGACCTGGTCCTTCTAAGTGGACTCTCTTGTCTATATCCCATCATGCCTTACTTGTGGCCCTTTTGGAAGATTAAAACTTTTTTCTCAGTTTGTTTTATGAAAGTGTGATTTTGACAATGATGATTTTTAAAAAAAAAAACACAAAATCACCCTGGGAAATGTTGCTGTTGGCACTGGAGAGTGATTTACATGATTTAAAGAGGCCTTGGTAGGTTCTGGCCTGTTTCTCTGTCCTATTTCTTGTGGATTTGAGATAATGCTTCATAATGTGGTATATAAGTTTTGACATCATGGAGGTATTGTTTTTTTGTTCCTGTCTTATTGATATGAACAGGGGTCATGATCAGTTTGAATAAATAGCAGAGTAGCCCGAGAGTCTCCGTACCAAATTTGGAAGAAATTTGTGATATTCTTTTCTAAGTATTTTCATTTATTTTGCTGAAGTACTTATTTATAAATGAACCATGTACATTGTCAGGATAACAAGTTCCATCTTTACCAGAAATAGAAGTTTAATTTGCAAGTTTAACTTGATGCTACTTTATTTACCAAACAGATTTGAACACCTGAAAAGGTTACACCTTCACTGAGTTTAAACTTTGACTCAACTTTAAAAAATGTTTTTTTATTTATTATTTTTATTTTATGTGTGTGAATGTATTGCCTGCATGTGTAAGTGCACCTATGTTGCACAGTGCCCACGGAGGTCAGAAGAGGGTGTTGGATCCCCTGGAACTGGAGTTACAGATGATTGTTAGCTGCCATGTGGGTGGTGGGAACCGAACCTGGGTTCTCTGCAAGAGCAGCCAATGTTCTTAACTGTTGAGCCATCTCTCCAGCCCCTTTGACTCAACTTTAACACTGTGCTGTTATCCCTGTATGCTTTTCTAAGTACTAGTTTATATATTTGGTACCTATATGTTATTTCATATTAGAAATATTTCCCAGTATGATTTTTCCTAAGGTTAAAAGAAATGTGTTTGTTGTGCTGGGCGTGGTAGGGCATGCCTTTAATCCTAGCACTAGGAAGGCAGAGGCAGACAGATCTCTGTGAGTTCAAGTCCAGCTTGGTCTATTTAGTGAGTTCCAGGCCAGCTGGGGCTACAAGGAGACCCTGTCTCAAAAAAGACTAGAAAAAAAAAAATGAATGTGTTGATATAATTAATGAATGAAGACCTTTAGGGACTTAAGACCTTTAATTAAAAGCTTGGACGTTCTCATTCCTTAGAGCATGACTCCACAGCAGGGCTTTATGGTGTCCCTAGCACCTGGCAGAGTTTGGCAGGGGCATTACATGTTTGCTGAATGAGTATATTGATCATAGCGTTATATATGTGTATTTTGATCTTTACCAGAAATAGAAGTTTAATTTGCAAGTTTAACTTGATGCTACTTTATTTACCAAACAGATTTGAACACCTGAAAAGGTTACACCTTCACTGAGTTTAAACTTTGACTCAACTTTAAAAAATGTTTTTTTATTTATTATTTTTATTTTATGTGTGTGAATGTATTGCCTGCATGTGTAAGTGCACCTATGTTGCACAGTGCCCACGGAGGTCAGAAGAGGGTGTTGGATCCCCTGGAACTGGAGTTACAGATGATTGTTAGCTGCCATGTGGGTGGTGGGAACCGAACCTGGGTTCTCTGCAAGAGCAGCCAATGTTCTTAACTGTTGAGCCATCTCTCCAGCCCCTTTGACTCAACTTTAACACTGTGCTGTTATCCCTGTATGCTTTTCTAAGTACTAGTTTATATATTTGGTACCTATATGTTATTTCATATTAGAAATATTTCCCAGTATGATTTTTCCTAAGGTTAAAAGAAATGTGTTTGTTGTGCTGGGCGTGGTAGGGCATGCCTTTAATCCTAGCACTAGGAAGGCAGAGGCAGACAGATCTCTGTGAGTTCAAGTCCAGCTTGGTCTATTTAGTGAGTTCCAGGCCAGCTGGGGCTACAAGGAGACCCTGTCTCAAAAAAGACTAGAAAAAAAAAAATGAATGTGTTGATATAATTAATGAATGAAGACCTTTAGGGACTTAAGACCTTTAATTAAAAGCTTGGACGTTCTCATTCCTTAGAGCATGACTCCACAGCAGGGCTTTATGGTGTCCCTAGCACCTGGCAGAGTTTGGCAGGGGCATTACATGTTTGCTGAATGAGTATATTGATCATAGCGTTATATATGTGTATTTTGATACACATATATTTTAATTTTTGGTACCATCTTTTTTTTCTAAGTACATCCCCACCCATCCTTCTATGGTACTGGGGATTGAACCTTGGAATTTATG